GGACTCCTAGTAGAGCGGTCTGGAGTTCGGGCTCGGTAGTGAGCTTGGACTTGCTTCCGATGTTCGCTTCGGGCGCTCTACTGTCCCGAGTTGTTCGCCTTTGCCACGTGTCGGGCGATTGCGAGGTCGGGCCAAATTTCCCTTCATCACTAACCATGTTAATGAATATATCTTTATCTTCTTGATTCATCCAAGATTGTGATTTCTATATAGTCTATGAATTATTGTGYTTAATGCAATTAAGAGCTTGGCCAGCTCTTAATTGATTTGGGTTATGTGAATGAATTGAGAGATGAATTCACATAATTGACAGAATAATTCATWGTGTGAATTGAATGGTATATAGAGATATATATACATGATTCATCTGAATTTAATGGTTTTTTTGGACTTAATGCACTTCCATCTTGAGAGCTCTACTCGAGAGATCGAAGGGTTACCTGATGGGCGTAGGTTTAGTATATCTCGAGAGAGAATATTAGATAAATTTGTGAAAATCTCAGCTTATGGGAATAACAATTAGTCTTGGATAATTGGACCCATCAATATTCATTGCATTGGTTAGGTGGACCAAAAGTCCTAGCGATTCCATCATTTGTATATTCAATTAGTGATCACCATTGTTTTTATTTTCTTTGTTCCAATTTTTATTTTCAGTAATTCTTGTTTCCTTAAATCTAAATTTTGACTGTCCAAATAATAAGGGAAGACTGTGATTCTAATACTTATTTTGTTAAATCCCCGTGGGAACGATATTATTATACTACTTGATAACTAGTGCACTTGCTAGAGTTATATATTTATAGCTATCAAGTTTTTGGCGCCGTTGCCGGGGATTTAATCCTAAAATAATATTAGAAKTTGTTAACCTTGATTAATTTGGATTTTTATTTCTGTTTTTAATTATTATTATATTTTGTTTTTGTTTTTATTTTTATTTTATTTCGTTCGAATTCTTGTTGTTTTTATTTTATTTTTATTCTACTTGTTCGATTTCTTGTTGGTTCCGATTTACTAGTGCATGACACGCACTAGACAGGAAGGACTACTGAATTCGATCCAGAAATTGAAAGAACCCTTCGCTTGTTGCAATGGGCCAAAAAAGGTAAGACAATAGAGGAGGTTGTTATTGGCGAACCAGCAATAGAGTTDGAAGGAGAGATGGCAGAAGGAAATCGCACCCTATTGGACTATGCATGTCCAAACATTGATGGGGTKACATCCAGCATTTGCAAGCCCACCATTCATGCAAACAACTTCAAAATCAAGCATGCAATAATTCAAATGATCCAAACAAGTATTCAGTTTAGTGGGTTACCAAGTGATGACCCTAATGCACACATTGTTAACTTCTTAGAAATATGTGATACTTTTAAACATAATGGAGTTAGTGATGATGCAATTAGGCTTAGATTATTTCCTTTTTCATTGCGTGATAGATCTAAAGATTGGCTTAACTCACTCCTTGCAGGAAGTATCACCACTTGGAATGATCTAACCCAAAAAATTTTGGCTAAATATTTCCCACCCTCTAAAACAGCAAAGCTAATTAATGATATTACTACTTTTGCTCAATTTGAGAGGGAATCCTTGTATGAAGCATGGGAACGATTTAAGGAGATGCTTAGGAAGTGTCCTCACCATGGGATACCAACTTGTCATCAAATTCAGACCTTTTATAATGGTATTACTCCCTCTAACCGATCCATTATTGATGCCACCGCAGGTGGTACGATCATGAGGAAAACTACAGAGGAAGCATATGACCTAGTGGAGGAGATGGTATCAAACAGCTACCAGTGGAGCAATGACTGAACCAATTAGAGGGGAGTACACCACATCGATTGCTTTGCAGCCCTATCTGCGCAAATAGCTAATCTGAACAAGAAACTGGATAATTTTAGTATTGCAGCCATTAATACACCATCTAGCATCTCATGCGATTTATGTGGGCAAATGGGACATACTAATTCTGATTGTCAATTAAATAGTCCTTTTATTTCCCATGAGAATGCTAATTTTATCTCTCATGCTAGTAGGTCAAACTTCAACCCATACTCAAATACATACAACCCATGGTGGAGGAATCATCCAAACTTTTCATAGAGTAACAATCAACAAAAAGCACCCATGGGTTTCCAACCACAGCTGCCTCCACAAGAAAAAAAGAGTAATCTAGAAGAAATGATTTCTAAGTTCATTAATGCTACTGAAGCAAGGTTCCAAGAGCAAGATAAGAGGATTTTAAGCCATGAAGCATCGATAAAGAATTTAGAAGTTCAAGTGGGGCAGATTGTAAGTATGCTATCGGAAAGAAAAGAGGAATGGCTACCCAGCAATACGGAGAAGAATCCCAGAGAGCAAGCAAATGCCATAACTTTAAGAAGTGGGAAAACAATTGGCGAAATTCAAAGAGAAGACAAGGGAGCTGAAGTGGTCGATCTGCAAAAGGAGAATGAGGGAAGTACTCCTAAACTGAATTTACATGAAATTAAACTTCCTATTCCCTACCCAAGAAGAGTCCTGAAGGCTAAATTAGATAAGCAATTTGAAAAATTTTTGGAAGTGTTTAAAAAGATCCATATTAATCTTCCTCTTCTTGATGTATTGTCACAGATGCCGAAGTATGCCAAATTCCTGAAGGAGGTGATGTTTAATAAAAGAAAGTGGGAGGATGGTGAGATGGTAAAACTAAACGAAGAATGTTTAGCCATTCTTCAAAAGAAATTGCCCTCAAAGCTTAAGGATCCAGAGAGTTTTTCTATACCTTGCACCATGGGGAATACTGAATTTGAAAAAGCTTTATGTGATTTAGGTGCTAGTATAAATTTAATGCCTTATTCTATTTTTGAAAAACTTGGACTACATGAACTAACATCTACAACTATTATCCTGCAATTAGCTGATCGAAGCATTAAATATCCTAGGGGAATAGTAGAAGATGTTTTAGTCAAAGTGGGTAATTTCATCATTCTTGCTGATTTCATTGTGTTGGATATGGAGGAAGATAATACAATGTTGTTGATTCTAGGGAGACCCTTTCTTGCCACGAGTAATGCTTTAATTGATGTGAAAGAAGGTCTACTTACTCTTAGAATCAATGGTGAATAAGTGGTGTTTAATGTATTTTAAACCATGAAATGTCCCAACACAGTTGGACATGAAATATATGCAATTGATTGCATTGATGGAGTAGATACATCTAAATCAGAAGACACGCTGAAAGTTGCACTTAATAATAGTCCCAATCAATTGCAACAAGCAGAGCAGAAGTTTGTACTGAAAGCAGAACTGCGAAATTTAACTTCTGAGCTAGACTCTTTTGAAATTGCAACTCATAATGCATCTTTTATCAATTTACCTCCATCTCACACAAAACCCCTCCCATCTATTGTGCAGGCCCCTTTTCTAGGTTTAAACCCACCTATGAAGGATGAAAGGGGGAAACATAGGAAGTTGAAAACCAAGTGGAGCAGACCCTTTGAAGTGGCTAGGGTATTCCCTCATGAAGCAATTGAACTACATAATGATGATGGGAAAACATTCAAGGTAAATGGGCAGCGGTTGAAGCATTATATTGAAGGAGAGCAACCCATCCACCATGGGTCCGTTCTCTCCTTGAAACCGCCATGAAGGAAAGGTGAAAGTCAAGCTCATGACTTAAAACGAGCGCTTGTGGGAGGCAACCCATTAAGTTTGTTCAGTTTTTTTTCTTCTTATGAGTGTGTTTTTTTCGTATCTCACATCTGCAGGATTTCAACGAGGCATTCAGGGAAGTCCTCTTAAATCTTTCTCTCCTTGTTCTGGTTATGCACATTGAGGACAATGTATATCTTAAGTGTGGGGGAGGATTAAGGGGTTGTTAAATTTTTTTCGAACTCTAGCATGCTTTGATCATCACTTTTTAACCTTTTCTTTTGAAATTTCTGCTCCTTAGAGACTTGTTTTTGAATGATTGCAAACCACATTGAATCATGTGCTTAGGTAGGATAGACAAGAAATGATGCAAGCAAATCTAGCTGAAATTTTTGGCTATGGAAGGTATCTCAGTAGTTTAAATGATCAACGGGCAAGATGCAATACAGATTTGACCCTTGTGAGCATTTGGTTTCTAATGGACAAACAGGGTTTGATTATTCTAGAACTTGTTTTGTTAGGCATGTTGAGACCACAATAATGAGTTCTTGTATTGGAACGTGTTATTCAAAAAAAAAAAAAGCACTCGTGTGAGATGGAGCATAAAATGCACTCACACCGAGAGAAAAAAAAAGAGCTAGTGTGAGATGGAGCATAAAATGCACTCACACAAAGAATAAGAA